CGAAGGAAAAAAAGAAGACTTATAACAATCTCCTAAGTTGATCCATAAATTCAAACGAGATCGGGCACGTTCAGGGTGGTATGGCCGTAGACATTGATCCATAAATTCAATGTAATTCCAATCCAAATCCTAGCAAGATTTTTTTTGTTTAATAGAAATTTAAAACTTGAGACAGGGAACCCTATGCTTCAAGCAGTTGGGCAAGGCTAACTACAGGAAAACACCAGTAGTTGACACTTTGGAGATTTGATCTAAAAGGGAACCTTCCCTTCTCCTGCCCCTCCCTCTCCCCTTTCCCCTCCTTCTTCTCCTTTTGCTGCTGGTCTTAGGCTTGAACTCGGGGCCTGGCCAGTATCCCTGAGCTTCTTTGCTCAAGGTTAGTGCTCTAATACTTGAGCCACAGTTCCACTTACAGCTTTTTCAGTAGTTTTTCGAGATAAGAGTCTCATGGACTTTCCTGCCCTGGTCGGCTTCAAACCTCAATCCTCAAATCTCAGCCTCCTGAGCATCTAGTATTACATGCATGAGCCACCCAATGCTTGGCTTTAAAAGTGACTTTTCTAACAGAATAAGCTAGTTTTATAGAAGTTAACTGCATTGCTCATCAAATCTCACCATGTTATAACAAGAAGCAGGGCCGTGTTGCTCTGAATATAGGAAAACACCAGTGATCTCAATTTAGGGTTACCACAGACACTGAAGCATTGAGTGGGAGATACTATAAGAATTAACAGAAACTGACTTCTTGAGAGTGTGTCTGGCACAAACCCTGAGAATTTTATGCGGTAGAGAATGTACAATAAAGATATAAATATGATGAGGAGTGAATGGCACAATGGTCATGTCTGGGACTGAGACTAGCAAATGACTCAGTTTTCATTGCACCCCTTCCCTCCAGGCCGAGCTCTGGGGTTTGACTGCTTCTCAACTAGGAAGCATTTGGGGATGGAACAGTAGTTTGATATTTGACCTGTAAGCTGACTAGAAACCCCAGGGCCTGTCCAGCATGACCCAAATAACACTGAGATTGATGAGAAGGGTTTGCTATGGCCCTGAAATAGGCCAAGTCATGGATCATGCAGCCTTCTTGAATGAGAATAATCATTCCCAGCAGTCTATAATCTGAAAAAACTTGGTGTAAAAAAAAAAGTTGGAGAAGTGGGAAAATAGGAGAACAAAATGAGGGAAGGGGTAATAAGTTTGACAAGAAATGTACTTATTACCTTACTTATGTAACTGTAACTCCTCTATACATCACCTTGACAATAATTTTTTTAAACAGGCTCATTGCATCTTCCACATCTCTCATGTTTGCAAAGCTTCTGATAGGCATGTTAAAAGCCACCTGAGAGAATACACCCTAGGGCAGTCAATATCGCCCATCTGGAGAAAAATGGGGACACAGCATTTGGCCCCAACCTGTTCAGCATGAGCTAAGATGGATCACGGTATGCTACGGCTGGGCCCATACCTCCTCCACACTGGGGGACCTGGAAGAGAAGTCTTCAAGTATCTCAGCATTTTTGATGTTTTTTTTCCCCTTTCTGTCTAGTGTATCTTCTATTACTTCTCATTTTTTGTTACTTTTTAAACTCTTCAAATTCTTTTTCTGCTTTCTCTTTTCTTCTTTGCCTTTGCCTTGCTGTCTTACTTTCTTTTATTTTTATTTTTTTTGTTCATCGTGGGGCTTGAACTCTGGGCCTGGGCACTGTACCTGAGCTCCCAAGGCGAGCACTCTACCACTTTAGCCACAGCACCACTTCCAGTTTTTTGGTAGTTAATTGGAGATAAGAGTCTCACGTACTTTCCTGCCTGGGCTGACTTTGAATCACGATCCTCAGATCTCAGCTATTTCTTTTTTTTTTTTTAATTGTCATTCTTTTTTTTTTTAATTGTGAAAATACCATACTACTTAATTTTTAAAATGATTTTCTTCTTTTCTTCCTGGGAGTACTGGATGTTGAACCCAAGGTCTTGCACTCTACTTGAGCATTGCTTCTAGCCCCGTTTGCTTTAGTTGTTTTTCTAAGAAACTCACTTTTTGCTTGGACTGTTCTGGAGTGTGCCTTTTATTTACACTTTCTTTGTTGAGATGTGGGTGTCCAACTTTTGTTTAGGCTGGCCTTGAACTGCACTATCCTAGTGATCTTAATCTCCTGAGTAATTAGGTTTGCAGATGCCAACTGCCTTGACATGCTTACTTTTTCTTCTATTATCTTTGTTCCTTTAATCAAGTCCAGCACCTCAAGCATGCTGGCCGGGTGTTTTGCTGCTGGGTTACACTCCAAGCCCCACTGAAGAGAAATTGCATGGTACTGTGGTCATTACCTATTTCTGCTTAAAACTGTCATGAATACTTCAACATAAAGAACAGGAAGCTCAGAGCCCCTAACTGATACTCTGGATCCAAGTAGGCACTGCTGCAGGAAGGGGATGCTAAAGTCCTGTTCTTGGACAAGTTACTACCACAGCAATAACACAGAGAAATAATGTAAGCATTTTAGACACTGAATCCACAAAGACCTTAGCATAACTTGCTCCTATACCCTTTCAGACTGCACACTGCTGACAAGACTGGAGGAAAAACCACAGAGGTCCCATGTACACTGTTGTTTATACCACAACTATCCCATCCTGTAAAACCTACAGACAAAATACATCCCTTCGGCTCTGATGCAGCATGCATTATGTTGTACAGCCACTAATCACCACTAAAAAAGTCACAGGACTAGGAGTCAGTGGCTCATGTCCACAAATCCTAGCAACAGAAGAGGCTGAGATCTGAGGATTGAGGTTCAGAGACAGTCAGGCAGGAAATGTCTGTGAGATTCTAACCTTTAATTAACCACCAGAGAGCTAGAAATACAGCTATGACTCAAGTGCTACAGCAATAGCCTTGAGCAAAAAACTCAGGGACATTGCTCAGGCCCTGACAAACTCAAGCCCCAGGTCTAGCACACAAACAAGAACAAAAGCAAAACAAAAAGCCAAAGGGAAAATATACTATATCTAAGTCCATTTCAAATGAAACTTAACACTATACAACAAATTGATAACCCATAGCACATTACTGAGAAAACTACTTACATAAAAATGGGCGAGATATTCATCCTAGCAGTTGAGCAAATCTCAACATAGAAACACAGAAATGCATAATATACATATATACATATATAATATACAATACATAATATATATATATATATACATATATAATATACAATACATAATATAATACCTACTAAAGCCTAAAACTCTAGTAACTGATTTCCAAAGATACAATGTGGCCAAAATGCTAGGAAAAGAACTGAGAAGGGACTGTACTTTGGGGTCTCTAATCTGCAGGATGGGGTTTGTCACAGTTCTCAAGAATAAGGCCTACTTTAAGAGATATCAAGTGAAATTTAGAAGACAAGGAGAGGGTAAAACTGACAACTATGCTAGGAAATGCTTGGTGATACAACACAAAAATAAGTACAACACACCCAAATACAGAATGATAGTTCATTAATCAACAGAGATATTTGTCAGATTGCTTATGCACGCATAGGAGACATGATCATCTGCATGGCATATGCGCACCAACTACCCAAGTATGGTGTGAAAGTCAGCCCAACCAATTATGCAGCTGCCTATCGTACTGGCCTGCTGCTGGCCCATCAGCTTCTCAACAGGTTTCACATGGACAAGATCTATGAAGGCCAAGTGGAGGTGACCGGGGATGAATACAATGTAGAAAGCATTGATGGTAAACTTGGTGATTAAGATGCAGGCCTACCTGCATTACAACTACCACTGGCAATAAAATCTTTGGGCCCTGAAGGGAGCTGTGGATGGAGGCTTGTCTATTCCTCATAGTACCAACAATTCCCTGGTTATGACTCTGAGAGCAAGGAGTTCAATGCAGAAGTACATCGGAAGCACATCATGGATCAGAATGATTATATCCTCTAGTATATAAAGAACAATGTAACTCCAGACATGATGGAGGAGATGTACAAGAAGGTGCATGCTGCTATATGAGAGAATCCAGTCTATGTGAAGAAGCCCAAGACAGAAGTGAAGAAGAGGTGGAATCCTCCCAAAATGTCCCTTCCTCAGAAGAAATATAGGGTAGCTCAAAAGAAGGCATGCTTCCTCAGAGCTCAGGAGCAGGCTGCTTTCTTTTTTTCTTTTTTTTGTCGGTCATGGGGCCTGAACTCTGGGCCCAGGCCTTGTCCCTCAGCTCTTCAGCTCAAGGTTAGTGCTCTACCACTTGAGACATAGCACCACTCCTGGCCTCTTCTGTTTATGTGGTGCTGAGGAGTTGAATCCAAGGCCTCATGCATGCAAGGCAAGCACTCTACCACTGAGCCACCTTCCCAGCCCCGAAACCAAACAATTTTCTATGAGGATTTTTTCAGAAAGACAATAAACTTATTGACAAGCTCCCCCCCCCAAAAAAAAAGGATTGGAAAGGATAATTAAAAGAAAAAACCCCCAATGATTCCAAGAATAAACAATCGAATAAATTTAAATGGACAATGGAAGATATTAATAAACATTTCAATGAAGAGAAAGAGAATCTGAAAGAGAACCAAATAGAAAAGGAAAGTAGCAACTGGGAGGATGCATGTGGGAGGTATCTATGTATAGGCAATGTTCTAATTTTTGGTCTCAGCAGTAATTTGGTTCACTTTATGAACACTGAGCTGCAAACTTTTCTATATGTACTTTTCTATATGTGCTTTATGCAATTAAAACAAATTTTAAATTTTAAAAAGGTTATGCCAGGTATAGTTAGGCATGACTATAATGCTAGCAAAGTAGATCTGCAAAATGGCAGCAAGAGGACCCAATCTGTCTGTAGCTAACCTGGACTACATATCAAGATCAAAGTTGGTCCACACAACATAAGAAGACCTGTTGTCAAAAAAATATAAGTTTAATAATTTTCTTTGCAGGTACAAAGCCCTGCAGTTTGATCCCCAGCAGAAGGGTGAGATAGGGAAGGCATTTACCTGCTTTTTCTGTGTTCTGTTCCTGTTTTCCAGCCAGTCATCCATTTGTTCCTCAATTTCTTCTATAGAAGTCCCATGATCATAAGAGTGAATATATGTACTTTCTAATGGTGTGTATACAGGAAATTCAGGTTTGGGTTTTTTAACTTTAACTTTCTTCTGTTCTAAAAAGAATGTTTAAAAGAACCAATTATTGACACTTGTTAAAAATTAAAAGAATTTAAAAGTACTCAAATACCTTATTCATAGATTAACTCTTGAAAGAACACATAAATGATGTTCTTTTTATCAAAACAGAATTGCTTTATTATAAATTTTATTATACATTATTATTGTATTATTTTAAAATTCAGATACTGTTAATAATGATTATTATTACTTGACTTATACATAATCACTACTTGACTTATACATATGTTTAGTTTTCAAAGAATTTTTTATCAAAGTATTTCACTATGCGAATTGAAAGAGCTTCAGTTTAGTGTGTTAATTTTACCTTTACCACTTATTAGCTATGTAATATTGGGGAAATACAACAAATGTTCATTTTCTGAACAAGGGGTATGTAATTATCATTTCAATATTTTACAAATGCAAAGATAATTTTGCAGCACCAGTAGCTATCAATAATGTCCAGTGTTATATGACACTGTTTCTATCACTGAATATATCATGGTGGTCATGTGAGATTATATTACCTAGTGACAACAAAACCAAAAGTGGCTCAAAGTGGTAGAGTGGTAGAGAGTGGTAGAGCCTTGAGCAAAGAGCTCAGTGACAGCACCCAGGCCTGAAGTTCAAGCCCCACAACCAACAACAACAACAAAAGTTTCTCATTAATAAAAACATTGGAATGTAACTGTTATGTAAGTTTATAGGTATGTGTGAATATATGACTGGTTATTATTTCTTTATAAAGATATAAAACTGGTAACTGAGTAAAAGCTCAGCAAAACATCTGCTAATTATTGATGATATACTACATCATCACTGAAGTAGGACAACTATAGCAAAATAATGCTTTTCAAAATTACTGAAAAGGCATGTGCAAGTAAATACATTTAAATGATATTAGATAAGCATGGAGAAAAATATGGATGAACACACTAAGATATGTAGGTGAAGAGATGGAAGGAATGTAGAGATAAGCATAAAGGAAAAAAGAAATATCACAACAAAAAGATAGATAACATATGAAGGCATATTTATGTATAAAAGTATATGATCAAATACTATTTCAAAATTATAAACAAAATCAAGTTTTAAAAGTCTACACAATGTAATCTAGCTGAAAATTCAGATATCTAAAACTAACGGCTGTGTATGATGGGAATAGGAATAGGGAAGTGGAGACTAGGAGGACTATTTCAAACCCAACTGGGGAAAAAATTTTTAGATACCATCTTAACCAATAAAAAGGTGGAAGTGGTAGTGCATGCCTATCATCCCAGCTACATGGGAAACATAAAAAGGATGATCACTGATCACTGTCCAGGCCAGTCTGGGTAAAAAGTAAGACTATTCAAAAAATAATAACAAGAAAGGCTAGAGGCATGGCTCAAGTAGCAGCGCATCTACCCAGCAAGCACAAGGCCCTGAATTCAAACCCTAGTGCTACTGGATTAAACAAAAACTCATCCAATAAACAAGTAGCCTTAGTAAATAACTATTCACTAAATCCTGTGCTACTTTAATAATTCAAGGCTAAGTGTGTAGTATGCTGCATGTGGTAAAATATCACCTCTTTAAAAATTGGCACTGAGATGGAGAAAACACTCCAAAAATTCATATGGAACAACAAAAGACATAGAATAACCAAAGCAATTCTAGGCAAAATAAAAGCAATGCAGGTGGTATTACAATACCAGATTTAAAACTCTACTACAGCCATAGTAACAAAAACAGCTTGGTATTGGCGCAAAAACAGACCCAAAGATCAATGTAACAGATTAGAAGACCCAGAAATAAAACAACATACTTACAGGTTTTTGATATTTGACAAAGAAGCCAAAGGCATACAGTGGAAAAAACATAGCCTCCAACAACTGGTGTTGGGAAAACTGGGCAGCCATATGCAGAAAACTAAATGTGCATCCCTGCTTGTCACTATGCACTAATAATCAATTCAAAGTGGATTAAAGACCTCAATATCAGACCCAAAACTCTGAAACTACTGCAAGAGAGAGTAGGAGAAACATTAGAAATTATAGGTATAGACAGGAACTTCCTGAATAGAGTCCCAGGGGCACAACAGATAAGAGAGAGACTCAACAAGTGGTACTACGTTAAAATAAAAAGTTTCTGCACAGCTAAGGACATAGTTACTAAACTAGAAAGATGGCCAGCCAATTGGGAAAAGATCTTTACCAGCAATACATCAAAGACATAATATCCAATATATACAAGGAGCTCAAGAAACTAATCCCTCCCAAACTTAATACACCATTTACTAAATGAGCAAGGGAGCTAGGAGAGACTTCTCCAAAGATTGGAGGAAAGAATGGCAAAGAAACACATGAGGAAATGCTCCTCCTCTCTGGCCACCCATAAAAAAATGCAAATCATAACAACTCTGAGATTACATCTCATTCCAGTTAGATTGGCCAACATTTTGAATTTTCACAACAACAAATGCTGGTGGGGATAGGAAACCCTACTGCACTGCTGACGGGAACATAAACTGGAATGCAGTTTTTGAGCTTCCTCAAAAAATCTAAACTTAGATCCATCCATACCACTCCTTGGCATCTCTCCTGAGTATCATGAAACAGGATAAGGACATCTTCACATCCATGTTCAGTGCCCGGCTATTCACAGTAGCCAAGATATGGAAACAACCCAGATGTCCCACAATAGATGAGTGAATCAAAAAAAATTTGGTACCTATATACCACAGAATTTTTACACAGCTATTAGAAAGAATAAAATAATATCATTTGCAAGGAAATGGATGGAACTAGAACAAATCATGTTAAGTGAAGTAAGCCAAGATCAGAGAGACAAATGGTGCGTAGTCTCTCTGATAAGTGGAAGTTAGATCTAAAACACACTGGATATGACAAATTAAACAGGATACTAGATACTCACATACAGTGAGACCAAAAGAGGTAGTTTTAGGAGAGAATCACAAAAGTGCAATGCCTAAGTGCTTCTTGATATTTATGTAAAATATACATACTGAAAGGAACTCCAAAGATATAGAAACAAAAGACTTTTTTTTTTTTGGGTCCAGTCGTGGGGCCTGAACTCTGGGTCTGGGCGCTGTCCCTCAGCTCTTCAGCTCAAGGCTAGCACTCTACCACTTGAGCCACAGCGCCACCTCTGGCCTTTTTCTTTTTTTGCTTATGTGGTGCTGAGGCATTGAATCCAGGGTCTCAGGCATGCAAGGCAAGCGCTCTACCACTGAGCCACCTTCCCAGCCCAGAAACAAAAGACTTTTTAAAATTTATTTTTTCTTTTTCTGAAGATTCTGTATCCTTTACCTTATATACAGGGTATTCACTTGCATATCTGTGGGAGGGTAAAGGGGAGGGCACAGAATCCAAGGATAAAGGGTGAAAACGTGCAGCAATGGAGTACACTGGACATTAATGAAAGTATACATGGGTAGAGATGGAAGGGAAGGATTGGAAGAGAATGAGGGAACAGATGAGTGTGTGAAAGGAACTATACTTATTACCTGACATATGTGTCACCCCGCTGCATATCACCTCTATAATAACAATAAATTCTAAAATTATAAAATATGGTATATCGGCTACATGTGGCACATGCTATAATCTCAGCACTAAGAAGGTTGAGGCAGGAGGTTCTTAAGTTTGAGACTAGTCTGTCCTCATCATTCCTCTGATTTTCAATAAGACATATATATAATTAATATGGACCCAAACTTTATATCGTTATTGATACTTCATTCAAGAAAAATAAATCTATGAGGATTTTTGTTTTCAGCAGCATTAGACCTATGTGGGAAAATCTGAGTTAAATACAATATGTATTTTATCTTGATGGATGGGAATCTGATTTAAGTTTTACAAATTTTGGTCTCAAGATACATCATACTTATTCCTCAATGGTAATTTAGCCTGTCAAAGACAAAAAACAAATAATCTAATCAATCAAACAAACAAAAATCAAACAAAACTAAAGAAAAATAAAGTAAAAGTGAAACTCATGATTCATTAAGTGTCTAGTAAATGAAGAAAAATGATTTTCTCTTAAAAACTAATTCAGGGAGATCATCAGAGGAATGATAAATGAGTCAAAAGCCATCTTAAGTGACTCCTTCTTTAATGCTCCTTGAAAACAAAAGTAATTTGGGACCAGAAAAAACAATCAAAAAAGCCACAACAGTCTGTAGCTGGGATGTGGCTTCAGTGACATGCACTCTGCCTATCACATGTAAGGCTCTGGGCTCAATCCCCAGCCCCATAAAACAAGCAAAAAACCATTCTGGCATAAGTAGTCTGTCTTACTACTTGGACTTAACTCAACTTATGAGCCAGATACTTGGATCAAATATTTGGAATAAAAGCACAAAAGCATTTCTATGTCAAGACACTCTTACCAAATAGTGATCTAGGCACTTTAGCAGTGAACCCTAAGGCTATTTTTAATGTCTTGATTGACATTTGTACCTTGATAGTGTTGAAACCAGTATAATAGAGTTTAAATTAATCAAAGCCACAACACCTTAACCATATTATCTTTTTCTGGCAAGAACAGAATTTCAAAGTGGTAGAGAGCTGCTAGCCTTGAGCAAAAAGAGCTCAGGGACAGCACCCAGGCCCTGAGTTCAAGCCTCACAATCAATGGGGAAAAAAGAAAAAGAGAATCCTGCTGTACATTGCCCACTAATAGTCTCTCATCCTGACTTCCTAAAAAGGAGTATTTTATTCCCCATCATCTACTTGCTCTTATCTTGGTACCACCACTGGAACCTGCGATGAGGTCCACAAAACAAGAAGCAAACACAATAAATACAAAATGTTAAGTGATACGACAAAATTAACAGGACTTAAGAAACAAAGGCCTTCCACTCATCTGGTGGAATTACTACTAAATAAGCCCATGCTGCTGATCACATGTATGGTATACATGAGCATACCAGAGGGAAACCAGGAGGACGACACAGAACTGGAGGGAACCAGGGAAAACATATACCAGCGGGACCCATCAGCTGCACTGGACATTGACCAAATGAACTAAGCAACTCAATGGCAGCGATGGGAGGGAGGGAACAAGTGGAAAGAGAGAACAACTAATGCTATACAAAATGAAAGAAATGTACATATCACCCAATGTGGAAGAAATAACTGCATTGCAAAGCTCATAGAACTCATAAATGTTATAGACCATGATAGACAATTCTCTCCATGAAAGTTAGAATGTGTTTGTGATTTTAACTAAGCATAACTATCCCACAATACTGTGAAATTTGGGAAATTATGTAACCACTTAATCATAATAAAAAATTTGGAAAAAAGAAGCAAATATAAATAATGTATTATTTCTGTACATATAGAAGTACGTGTGGAGGAGATGGGGAAAAACAGTTGTTTTAGGGTTCAGGTGGACCTGTTGCAACAATGAGAAGTACAAGTTGTCATGTCCAAAACGAGCTTTACAATGTCGGTGTAGGGGGGGTGGGGGGGGTGGGAGGGGGGAAAGATTGGGATTGGGATTGGGGAGGCTGGGAAGGGATGTGAAGGGTAAACAAAGGGGGAGGCTGCAATGCTTGGTAAGAAATGTATGCATTATCCTGCCCATGTAATTGTAACCCCTCTGTACAGTATGTTCACAAATAAAATAAAATTAAATTAAAAAAAAGAAGTACATGCAGAAGGGTTGATGAGGTGATATTTTTAAAATTCATATTAGGTATAGAGAGATGGGTAATGAGTAGTAAGTGTTTTTATTGTGAAAATACTGTACAGAGGGGTTACAATTACATGGACAAGATAATGAGTACATTATGAGTAATAAGTTCTATTTCTACCTTTTCCTCTTCTTTTGTCTATTCAAACTATCATCTTTAAAAACAGTATCTCTGTATGTCAAACATGTATTATAAATTTACTGATAACATCTGTTTCAAACACACAGAAAAATGTTTTCATCACAAATGTGTATGAGGAAAAAGATACTCTGACCTCAATACTATACAAAGCATATATTATCAGAACATTATATACTATTCATAAATGTGTATACTTTTTATGCACCAAAGTTTAATAAAAGAATGAGTTTCCATTTATGATTACAGGCTCATATCTGTAATTTTAGCTACTCAGGAGGCTAAGATATGGAGGATTGCTGTTTGAGTCCAGCCCAGGGGCAATAGTTGGAGAAATTCCATCTCCCAATATGCCAGCAAAAATGATGGGATAGAGGTATGGCTCAATCTTCAGCAAGCAAGACATGCAAGTGCAAGGCTCTCAGTTAAAATCTCCAAGAGCCCCCAAAGAAACAACTGTGTAAGAGTTACATTTATCCAGGTGTGAAGGCACATGCCTAAACTCCCAGCTACTCCAGCGGTAGAGGAAGGGGGATTGAAATCTGAGGCCAAACCAGGCAAAGCACAAGACCTCTCAGAAAAACAAATCAAAATGAGTGAGCATGGTTCAAGTAATAGTCCCTGAGTTGGATTCCCAGTACCTCACAAAAGTTAGAGTTTCTTCTACCCATTTCTACTTTTCAACACATGCATATCTGCCAAACTTAACAGTTGATTCTCTATTAACTTTTCTCTGTTTACAGAATTCTGCTTTAAACAGTTATATTTGATCTATGTGATTATTAGAACTTTAAAATTAATTTATGGGGTCCTTTGAATAGAGTTCTATATGAACAGATGCTTCGTTGACCTTCATTAATATTTATGGAATTCCATTAATCCATATATTCACCCACTGGTAATTTTATTTTTGTTCTAAAGCTGTTTTTCTACCATATGAAGGACTGTGTCAGACAGAAAAATAGCCATAAAAACAATTAAGCTCTACTTTCTGGAACCTGGAAACACAGCCCTGAAAAATACAGAAAAAGACCTTACTTTCACGGACTCACACACTATTAGAAGAAAGCAAGCATGGACAAGATTAATAAATGTACTACTATTAAGTAAAGCAATGTAACCAGACAAAGTGTGTAGTGTGTGTGTGTGTGTGACAAAATGAGAAAAAATTATCAGGGCTTGGAAAATGTCTTCTCTAAATGTATATTCAACTGTTCCTAAAATCAGCAACAACTGTCTTTTCGTATTCCATTTCTTTTGAAAATACTGATAAACTTAAGAGAACTTTGTAGACTTTGGACAGCCCCATTCTTCAGGAATGGGAATGGTATAACTATGTTGATTCAATCTTTCCTTTGGACATCGGACTTTGGGTGGTTCAGTAATACAGCATTTTCCATGCATTATAAATTAAGTATAAGTGACTCCATTAGAAAATGGAAAGGAAAGCATAGAATTGCTACTGAATTTAAATAGAAATCAAAATTGAGATAATTTTATACAATATTGCTAACGTAGTAAAACTGTATTTAAAACTCACTTTGAAGTGTTTCATGTTCAGTTCTAGTCAATTCATCTTCCTTTTCCTTCAATCTTGTCTCTTTATATTTCGCATAAAACTGCCCAGCATCCTTAAAAAAGAAGTTATAAGTCAACACAAAAATCAGTTTGCTTTGACAATATTTTCTCTTTAACTGTTTTTAAAATAGTGCACTCATAAGTAACTTTTTGTTTTCAAATCTTACGATGATTTTTTTTCTCTTGGAGAGAGCCAAGTGCAGAAACTACACATGCATAAACTTAAGTAATTTCTTTATCTCATATATGAAAAACCCTCCATTTCCTGTTTTCTTCCATTGTATGACTTAAAAAATATTATACTACTAGGTGGAAAGGCAACAGAAAAACTTATTTGGTGACTTGGGTTATTTGCAATAGTAAATTATACTATTGTGATTGAAGTACTTTTACATTAGTCCTTTAACTCCAGTAGGTTTTAAATATCTCTAAATGCAAATTTGATAACTACACACACATGACCATTTAGATATAAGCACAAAGCTGTTAGTCCTTCCATTGTTAGAAACCAGTACAAAACAGATTTGGGAGGACATACACTACATACTCAGGTGTCAAGATACATTGGCTAAAGTCTCAATGAGTGCCACAAAGGTAAGACTTTAGCTCAGTGCATCTCCCTGCCCCCAAGAGAGTAATCACAACAATGAAAATAAGCAAGCTTATGCTCTAGGCATATGATGACCCGACAATGAATATAAGCTTATTATACTCCTTGACTTCATATTATACAGCAAATACCATCTACTTTTAGCCAGAGTATTCTGCTCCTTCACAATTACTTTTTTTTTTTTTTCCGTCAGTCATAGGGCTTGAACTCTGGGCCTGGGCACTGTCCCTGAGCGATTCAGCTCAAGGATAGTGCTCTACCACTTGAGCCACAGTACCAATTCTGGCTTTTTCTGCTTATGTGGTGCGGAGGAATTGAACCCAGAGCCTCATGCATGCGAGGTAAGCACTCTACCACTGAGCCACCTTCCCAGCCCACAATTACTTTAAAAAAATTTTTTGTATATATATATATATTTTATTGTAAAAATACTGTACAGAGGAGTTACAGTTACTTGAATAAGGTAATGAGTACATTTCCTATTGAGCATTGTTACCTCCTCCTTTGTTTTTCCCCTACCATCACTTCCCTCCTTAACTCCTCAACTCCTCCCCCCACCCCAAAGTTGTAAAGTTCATTTTCAACATAGTGTCTTGTACATCTCATTGTTACAATGGGTTAACCTGAATCCTTATTTCAGCATTTTGTTATTTCCCTTTCCCTTCCCAAATTAGAAAAATGTATATACAAGATGCAGGGCACCAGAATCAAATACAGTAAAAACAGGGGTTATACCATGGGGGAAGAATCACAATTACTTTAACAAACTCTCTTTCATCCTTGAAAAGTCTGTTCAAGTACCAGCTCCTTTATGTTCTCCAGAATAGAGCAATTCTTTCCTGTGTACTAGGCCTGTAAATAATTACAACAATAAGGTATTCCTAAACCATTGCATCAATATAGTAAAGCTATTTCTCTTGGTTCTTTCCATCCTGATTTTTATATTACTACATCATTTCTAGCATAAAAGTTCCTATAAACCTTGGCCAGCTAAGCAATGATACATTTTGAAAAGCATAAATGGCCATGCATCCAACTTATTCATCCTTCCATGACCATAAACATAAAGATTACATTTAAAAGTCAACAGGATTTTAAAGGTTTTATGTCCCATTAACACCTCTCTATTCCCCTTTTAAAAAGCTCCCAATTGCCGGGCGCTGGTGGCTCATGCCTGTAATCCTAGCTACTCAGGAGGCTGAGATCTGAGGATCGCGGTTCAAAGCCAGCCCGGGCAGGAGAGACAGTGAGACTCCTATCTCCAATAAACCACCAGAAAACCGGAAGTGGCGCTGTAGCTCAAGTGGTAGAGTGCTCGCCTTGAGCTGAAGAGCTGAGGGACAGCGACTAGGCCCAGAGTTCAAGCCCCACGACCGACAAAAAAAAAAAAAAAAAAAAGCTCCCAATTCTAGAGAAATATTTTTTATTTAGTCTTATCAGTCACATATACCTTTGTGTGAATAAATGAATGAGCTTGTTTGTTTCTTTTCATATAGTAAGTTTTAATAGGGAAGAAGAAAAGGGCAGCAAGGCCCTAGCTCCTTGGGGAACAGGAAATGTGGCAACATTAAAAAGAAAAATAAATGTTGTTTGTGAGAGGTGAAAGAAGGTAGGTTGAAATTAATCACAATATTAGTTAGATATAGTGACTAAGGACTATTTTTTTTTTTGAGAGAGAGAGTACCATAATGTAGTCCAGGCTGGCCTTAAACTCATGATCCTCTTGCCTTAGTCACCCAAGTGTTAGAATTACAGGTGTACAGCACCACAAAAGAACAAAAGCTCCATATAGCTGGAGCTATACTATATAGGTGAAGCTTTCAGCTCTTCCATTTTACCACTCTATGACATTCAGCATATTAACTTTTTTATGGATCAGTACCTAATTCATAGGACTACTGTGATGATCACATGGGTCAATATTTGGGAGACACTTAATATGTGTCTTGTACATGGTCATGTGTTTTATCGTTACTTGGATTAGAAACAAGTTCTCTCTTTCATGCTTTATATTTCACCAAAATGCTTTTTATTTTCTTCTTAATTACTTTCGAATTATAGTTACAACATGCCTTTTCTAGGAAACATTATTCCCTCAACAAACTAACAATCTCAAATAATTTTATTTACTCAGTATTTCCTTCCAGTCATCTTTATATATAGCATAGTATACCACATTTTTTAAAGCACACTGCCAAAAGGAAGGCTATAAAAGGAAAGTGATCAAATGGTGAGGCAGCTTGAAATTGTCTCTTAGCAGGGACTGGGAATGAGAAGATTAGGGACAACCTGGTAACTACCGCAGTCTATTTTAAGGGTCATTACTGAAAAAAATGGTGTAAATTACCATATACAATTCTGGAGATGAAAGTTTTGATTTTGGATAAATATAAGGAACTGTTTATCTTTTTTTTTTCTCCCTCCAGTCCTGGGGCTTGAACTCAGGGCCTGGGCACTGTCCCTGAGCTTCTTTTTGCTCAAGGCTAGTGCTCTATCACTTGAGCCACAGCACCACTTCCAGCTTTTTCTGTGTATGTGGTACTGAGGAATTGAACCCAGGCCTTCATGCATTCTAGGCAAGCACTCTACCACTAAGCCACATTCTCAGCCCCAGGAACTGTTTTTCAATAATTAAAATTAGCTAAAAATAAAATAGTTTGATTCTACTGGTAGCTATCTACTGGTAGAATTTGGGACTACAGTAGTTGGCTGTTCATTATTAGTTATTCTAACGGTGATTCATGTACTCAAAAGGGGTTAAAAAGATCAAATGTTTCAACCTTTTCCCCCTCCTATTCTCCCTTAGAGGAAATCTGTTTAGTAGAGAAAATAAACATAAAAATTATTTGAATCCAGAATATACTCTGGTTTACCTAGACAGAAATTACAGATTTCTGTGGATATAAACATTATATCTCCCCTGAAGCTTTTGCATCATGCCTATTACATGATAAAATTTAATATGTAGTATATAAATAGACACTTATTTTAATTAAGTGACAAAATAAATTGGGGAACTGGTATTGTGTGTTTGCTTTCACTTCTCCATATAAACTTTGAAATATTAAGCAATCTAAATTTAGAAAAGGGCTCTGATCTAAAGTAGGAGAAGTAGACAAAAATATGAGAACAAGGAATGTGGTTGAGCTCTCAGGCAAGGTAGCTAGAAAAAAGATGGCAGATACTCCATGCCTTCTGGATTGTTTCACTGTACAAATTTCTTTTGAAGATTACAAAGAGCTATCAACACCAAGAAAATACATATATTAGTTACTTTTGTGTCTCTGTGATCAAATGTCTGAGAGAACAACATAAAGGGATTAAAGATTTATTTTGGCTCATGATTTCAGAGGGTTTATTCAGTCCATGGTTGTTTATCCCTATGTATTTAGAACATCATGGGGCAGAGCTGTGTGGCAGTCTGTTCATCTCATGGAAGACAGAAGCAAAGAGGGAGAGAGTCCTGGGCTAGAGACAAGATACCACAAAGGATGTTCCCCCAGTGACCTACTTCCTTCATCTAGGCTCCACCACCTACACTTTCCAGAAACTCCTAAAATGCCTCCATCATTGGATAACGTAAAGCTTTAACATATGAGCTTTTATAGGATATTTCACATTCAAACCATAACAATACTGTAAGTAAATTTCTGAAAAATCTGCCTATAAAGTCAAGTGGTCTATATTAAATTTTGTTGGTCCACTGACTAATACTCTAATCTCATAATCATACATAATAAGTAATAAAATCATAAACCTTAAGTTTGTCTATTTTAAGTAAGAGTCAATGTTTATGCACAGAACTATTAACATTGAATTCATAATAGGTTAACAAAAATAAAACTGAAAACCAGAAGCTATGCCTTCTTCTGTTTGAGACAGTCCTATTCAAGAGGTAGAGCCCTTGGTGTCCCTGAATTCAACCTTACAAAAAAAGAGAGAGATAAAGCCTAAACGCTACTTTTCCATTTAGGCTAAGATAGAAGAGGCTGCAAATACTGCTTACCTCAAATACAATTCAAGAATCCTTCTAGAACTTTCATAAAAATTACCATCAGCCTGAACACTGATGGAGTTTAAGATCTAACAGCTTATTGTACCTCACTAGACAGTTCTAATTATCTACTTGTTGGGGGGAAAAACCCAACTTCTTTTACCTTTTATATTTATTTTGAGACAAGGTCTTGCAATATAAGCCTAGGTTATCTCACACCAAGATCTTCCTTCTTCAACAGCCTCCTGAATGCTGAATGCAGAGAGGTATATAACCAAATACAGACTAGCTTTTTGTTTTGCTTTTATTTTTTGGCCAGTCCTGGGGCTTGAACTTTGGGCCTGGGCACTGTCCCTGAGCTTCTTTTGCCCAAGGCTAGTACTCTACCACTTGAGCCACAGCACCACTTCTGACTTTTTCTCTATGTGGTACTGAGGAATCAAACTCAG